ATGTGGCTCTCGAGTAGAAATTATAAAAATATTTTGGCCACGTTGCCGTTACCATTTTTGGCAAAGATTTCTTAATCCATGTCGTTTTATTTAACGCTTCAGAAAGAGAGTCTAGGTGGAAGGAAAAATTTAACAATTCGTCATGATAGATTCCAAGGCATTTAGCATTCTGTGAAAACGGTATTTGACGATTATTTAATATAATATTAATTTTCAGAAGTATCTGGCTCACGATTAGTTTGGAAAAAAACTGCATTAGTTTTATCAGGATTTAAAATTCAAGTTTATACACCATTCTTCTACCGAAGAAATCACAAAGCTGCCCTTTAAAGTTAGTTCTGGTCTGGATAATTTGATGCTTCCAGAAATAATGAGCTATCGTGTACATATTAGATTATTTAACAAGCGTACTTAGGTCATTTAAGTAAATTGTTTATAAAAATTAGGAGACCTAGAGGACACTGTCCTGTTGGGCTCCCCTTGAGATATCTTACGCTTTAGACTGTATATACAGGCTAATGTTGTTATCTTGCAGTTTTAATACAGTGAGTATCATAAGTCTTAACTAACTCGTTACTGGGGTCTTGTTAGGAAAATCGCCGAGACAGGTCGATTTTTGATTTTTACAGTGTACATTTTTGTATAATTAGTTTACCCTTAATTTCATCCCTTACTGGAGGGTAGCAACCCTTTCGAAAAATTTAAATGGCATGGGGTGGTGAGTGATAGCTCATTTGAAAGGGGGTTTTATTCTCTATTCAACCGTGCAAAAAATTTTGAAATTTGCTTCATTACGTGTTGATTTATTAATGTTTAAAAATAACAAAACCTCACAAAATAGGAAAGCAACTAGACTAACAGTGACCTTCTAATGGCAAAAAGTCTTACTTCACGTCTGAACCAAAACCGAAATCATGCAGGGCCGAATTTTAATTCTAAGGATGACTGCGCTACGTTAATTTCCGTTATTCTGAAACAACAATTAGTCGAGAATTAATGAAGCATTTTTTTTTACACGGTTGAATAGAGAATAAAACCCTCTTTCAAATGAGCTATCACTCACCACCCCATGCCATTTAAATTTTTCGAAAGGGTTGCTCCCCTCCAGTAAGGGATGAAATTAAGGGTAAACTATTCATACAAAAATGTGCATTGTAGAAATTAAAAATCGACGTGTCTCGGCGATTTTCCTAACAAGACTCCAGTAACGAGTTAGATAGGGGGGGGGGGGGGTAAGACTTATGGTGCTCACTGTATATGTTTGTGGACACTGATATATGTATTTAATGATGCATTGATTTGCAGGTTTGCAGTTATTTTGTATACATCTTTTTATTAGATACTTATAACCTGCACTCTTTTTACCTTTTATCTTAGTCACTGCTTCATTTTATATTCTCTCTATAGTGACTTCTCTTAGAATAAGGCCGTCCAAGATGGAAAGCTATGTCGCAACCCCCTTAGATATACCAGCCCTAATCAGACGCTTATTATTTTCCTAATGAAATTGCGTGTGAATGTTAATTTATAAACTAAATTTCAATATTATCAAAACAGACTAATTTTAGAATGCTTCGAAGGGCCAGTGTTTTTGCAATTTTTCTGTTCGACTCGACGAGAAACAGGATTTCCCGGTCGTCCCATTGCATTTTAGGTGAGGATATCAAACAATTATCAGTGGTTTCTCTATAGCTATCAGCCTTTAATTCCGAAGATGTTGTGGTATGATATACAAGAAACCATAAAAAATTATTTATTAACAAGACAAATATTTGTGATAAGTTTCACATGAAAAGTTACTCTTTCCTTATCTCTTCTACCGTAACCCTGTGCCGATCCTTTCTTGCTAGTATAGTCGAGGCAATAAAGCAGTAAAAAGGCCAAAAGTTCGTAATTTTTTAGACTAAGACGGATCGAAATACGGTTTTTGCATTCACTTCCAAAAATATTTTGAAAAAAATGCCCCTACTTTTTATCTTATACAATCCGGAAATTACATTGCTGCAGCCAAAAATGCATTTTTTTGAGTCGGCTTTTGGAAGATTAAAGAACTTTGTAAATAAGAGTCAGAACTGGCCCAAATCGGGTTGCCAGGGGTTTTCAAATTCGCTGATCACGATTATGATGTTCAAATTGACCCACAGCCGACCTGGAGCTCAGGAACGCCGATGGACGTCATCTCCGTGGGAGTCTCCCGAAATTCACGCGGAGAAGAAGAGAAACTCGGCGGCCGGTGTTTTTTTTAGGTCGTTGAAGTCAAATATGGCATCGTGAAACACTTCCCGGATACCTGGTATGCCGGAACCTGGACCTCATCCCCGAGAATTTTCCTGACAAGATCGCCAAAAACAATCCGAAAATCATTGTGGGGGCGTTTTTTGGAGCGGTAAATCCAAATTTCACGTCGAAACGACCCCCTGAACACCTGGTGTACCGGAACCTGGACGCGGACCTCATCTCCGTGAGTTTTCCTCACTCGATCGAAAAAGACGAACGGAAAATCGTTAAAGAGGTTTTTGGGGGTGCTGAATTCAAATGTGGCATAGACGAACTCCCCCCTGACATCTGGTGCGCCCGAATCTGGACGCGGACGTCATCCCCAAGAATATTCCTGACAAGATCACCAAAAACAACCAGAAAATCATTGTAGGGGCGTTTTTTTTCGGGCGCTTGATCCATATTTTACGTTAAAAACGACCCCCCGAACACCTAGTACGCCGAAATCTGGCCCTTAACGTCGTCTTCGAGGGTTTTCCTCACACAATCGAAGCTTGTCTCATATGCCACTAGTTGCGGATATTTTGTTGCTCCATGCAATAACGGGGTGCGATACCGTTTCAGCAACGTACTACTAGGGAAAAACTAAATTTTTCAAGACCTTCCAAAAATTTCCATGCTACAAAGTTCAAGGAAGCTGGTTTCACTAGCGAAGAAATTTTTGAGAACGGGGCGCAGCTAATCCTGGCTATGTACAGTGCTCCACTGTCATTCAGGAAGCCCAATGTTCCTGACAAGTACAAGCCAAAATGGGACTAGTTACTACATATGTACAGGTACAGAATGTACATAAAAACCGCTCTAAAGGGGAGAGTAAACTTAGGAAAAATTCTCCCCACACTAGACGCCATTCAACAACATCTTAAGAGGGTCTATTTTCAAGTGCAAGATTGGCTGCACGGAGACCAGCTGACCATGGACCCAACAGAATGGGGTGGAGAAAGGATGGCGACACACTGGTTCCTGTAGAAATGACACAAAAACCTGCGTTCAAGAATATTATGAAACTAATATTCTGTGGATGCGCAGGAGATTGTAAGCTGTTGTCCTGTAGTTGCAAGAAGCACGGCCTCCCTTGCAATCTTGTCTGTAAAATTTGTGTAGGCTCAACTTGCAACAATACTGAAAACATTATTGCGGCAGAGAGAGAGGCCTTAGATGAGGAAGATGTTCTACCTATGAATACGTCAGTCGATAACGAAGAAAATGAACAGACTAGCGTGTTACTTGATGAAGAATTTGATATTTAGGTATGTATATAAAAAATAAAGTTATTAATTAGTGATTTAAGGTAAAGTTACAGTTAGATTGTATTTAATTTTGAGTTCGATATAAATTTTTTTAACGGTAATTACATAAATATTGACTTTCAATTCATTCGATTTCTTTCTTCCTCACATAATTTAACTAGAATCAACAATTACACACAGCTATTGCAGTATTTACATTCGTCTCTAAAATATCAGGTTTGGTTGACATTCATGGGAATGACATCGATGTCAAGATAAAGGTTCTGGTGCACCAGGTGTTAGGATTCAGCTCCCCAAAAAAAACCCTATAACGATTTTGGGTTCGTCTTCTTCTTCTTCTGTGTAAGGAAAATCCTCATAGATGAGGTCCGCGTCCAGGTTTCGGTACACCAGGTGTTCAGGGGATCGTTTTCGACGTGAAATTTGGATTGAGCGCCCAAAAAAACGCCCCTACAATGATTTTTGGGTCGTTCTTGGCGATCTTGACAGAAAAATTATTGGGGATGACGTCCACGTCCAGATTCGGGCGCACCAGATGTCAGGGGGGAGTTCGCCGATGCCACATTTGAATTCAGCACCACCAAAAACCCCCATAACGATTTTCGGTTTGTCTTTTTCGATCGAGTGAGCAAAACTCACGGAGATGAGGTCCGCGTCCAGGTTCCGGTACACCATATGTTCAAGGGGTCGTTCTCGACGTGAAATTTGGATTTACCGCTCCAAAAAACGCCACCACAATGATTTTCGGATTGTTTTTGGCGATCTTGCCAGGAAAATTCTCGGGGATGACGTACACGTCCAGGTTCTGGCATACCAGGTATCCAGGTGGTGTTTGACGATGCCATATTTAAATTCAACGACCTATAAAATCCCCGGCCGCAGAGTTTCTCTTCTTCTCCGCGTGAATTTCGGGAGAGTCCCACGGAGATGATGTTCGTCGGCGTTCCTGAGTTCCAGGTCGATTGTGGGTTAATTTGAATATCATAATCATTATCAGCGACCTCAAAACCCCCTGGGAATCTGATTTTGGCCAGTTCTGACTCTTATTTACAAAGTTCTTATGCATTTTTGGCTGTAGCAATGCAATTTCCGGTTTGTATAAGATAAAAAGTAATGGCATTTTTTCCAAAATATTTTTGGAAGCGAATGCAAAAAACCGCATTCCGATCCGTCTTAGTCTTAAAAATTCCGAACTTTTTGCTTCATTGCTTCGACTAGTAGTGCTAACTTAAAATTCAGTTATCATGACGCCCAGCATGTAGGGAGTCAAAATTTGTTTTCGATGCTGTATTTAGGGCTTTTCATGATAATTACGAACTGAATTTACTCTACAAGCCAACTAAGAAAAGTAGAAACATCAATCTTAAATGAATTACTTATTTAACCAAATTCTTGTTATGTTGAATAAAACACTTTACTTTAACAATTAACTTTATTTACATATAATATATGTTATTCACATTTTTTTACATATAAACATTAAGAAAAAGAGGAATTATTCAAGATTTTTTGCATTACAAACGAAAAATTTGGTTCTTAGCTTAAGAAACAGCTTCAAATCACACATAAACAAATTAAACACAACAGGTAACTAATATCACTTACGATTTGTAAATATGAAATATGGCATACAATACAAAATCAAATTCACAATAATATATAATTTATCACAAATAATTTAAAAACATTGATTACAAAAGAATAGACTTTCGTCACGCCATTAACGAATCGCTGTGATTTTTTGTCTGAAAATATGAACAACAGGTACCTAAAGGAGCAGTTTTAAAATGTTACCACTGGAAAATAAGTTTGTCTAAAATTGACTGAATTATTATAAAAAAATTACCGCGTACGATTAATAGACGTGACAAAAATGTAAGTATCTAAGGCTAATAGTCCGTTATATTTCTTATTTCTTCTTTTGATCGATTGTTGAAGCTTAAAAGTTCAATTAAGCAGTTATTTAACATTTTGGTATTTTACTAAAGACAAACTCAAAATATTTTTTTACCAAAATGTTCAATAAAAAAATCAAGTTAAATCTTATTAGGTTTGAAAACGGACTTAACCATAATTAAGTTAATTTGTAGAAAACTATCGGAAGCGTCAATTTGGTTTCTACTGATTTTATTTTATAATAAAAGGTCTTTACAAAAAGATACCACATATTCCTTAGATCAAAATAAGCAGATTTAAGTAAACTTAATACAAAGTTTATTTTTTCAATAATGATACATTTAAATTTTGTACGCCAATGAAAGAAAAGGGATTTGAGTATGAAATTTGTATTGCTTAGCTCATTTACTACAAAAAAAAGGAACTCTAGATAAGTCTCGATTACTCTCATGATTTTGGCAAAATTAAAAATGAACACTTCCGATAATTTAAAATATCTTTTAAGAAAATTATTATTCTACACTATTTTTTAAATAATATAAAATTACAATAAACTAACATTAACTTATTAACTAAGTCATGTAGAAAACAACTAACAAAAAAGCCACCAGCAAAATATTGCTTTAATCATTCTGAAAAAAAAAAAAAAAATACTGCTTTAAATAAAACTATCAATTTCGAAATAAATACAACCTAAATTATCAAAAATTAAATAACTCCTCCCCAGAAACAACTTCGTCAAATTCAGTGACCTAAAATGTCCGAAATTAAATACAATTGACATTTTTTTGAGCTGTCACTGATTTTGAAATTTTGGAAAAAAAATAGGAACAATTAAAAAGTAAGTTTAATTGAGTGGTCGATAGTAGGTAACTCAAAAAATATTCTTGCAAGTATTGGTTGGTTGTCAAGTTTGTCATGATATCCGAATAGAATGTTAAAAGATATTTTAAATTAATCTAAAATTAGATATAAAATTTAATTGAAAACAATTTAAAAAATCTGATCTGGTTATCCAAAATAAACGATTATCTTCCTTTTGCCAACCATGACTTGCTCAGAAAATGTAAATTCGTTGTTAATACACGACGTATTTTAAAGACACAGATACTCATTGAACAAAATTGAAGGAACTGTATTCCTTCCGCACAGTTCATATTATGTATGGTGCAAAAAATTAGTCTTGAGCATTAAAATTTTGAATATATTAAAAAACTTAATGGTACAGAACAATTGCATATTTTTATTCTAAATAAATCATGAGAAATAAATGCTGACACTATTTGAACTATTGTTTACTTCCAACAAGGATATTGAGTATCAAGGTCCTTCAATTTTATCACTTACGAGTTACAGTAATGAACTTCTATCACAATTAACATTGAGATATTTAGCAAGTTTTGCTATGAAAATGACACCATTTTTTTGATACGTATGTAATACTTTAAGAGTGAACAATAAACAATTTCATTAACTTAATATCCATATCATAGGCTTAATGCAAATTTAAGCTTTTTGTAAACTGTCTAGGCATTTTACAAAAAGCCGGCAAAATGCGAGAATAAAATGCATTTTTCGTTATGCTGACATCAATTCAGGCAAATTGATAAAATACCGGCAAAACAAGAACAGATCGAAGAATGTATATCATTTTTAGGCTTTTCACAATTTGCCAAAAACGGTGCCGTCAAAACGTGAATAGATATAAAACAAGTCGACTTTTTTCGATTGAATAGTATCAATAGTACATCAGGTATTATGAATTGCGTTTATCAGCCAGCGTTTTAATATTTCGCGTAACCTTTATTTTGATGTGTTCAAGAGTATCAGAATGGGCGAAAACCGCGAAGACGTACAAATCGAGAATGAGAAACGAGATTTAGAAGTCATGAAAGCGTAATTTATTAAAAAATCATGGACGGCTGACAGGGTTAAAGAAGTTATTACAGAAATTAAGCATGGTAAATTACCTGGCTCAACAGGTAACAAAAAAATAATAAGTAGTAATATTTAATGAGAAAATATGATATTTTGTCTATCGGTACTGATGAACATTTAGTCGTAAAACGAAGTTCTCTTGACCAACCTACTGTTTACAGAATTTTCATAGAACAGTATTTTGATGTGTTGCTAGAATCTCACCGATCCACAGGTCATGGTGGCAGGGATAAAACGCTATTTGCATTAAAAAAAAATACCATTCCTAGACTTTCATTTCACTATACAAGGAATGTCAGCTTAAGAAATCGCAACCTCATAAGAGGTTGGTTGTTAGACCAATACTTTCTAAAAGTTTTAATGTTCGCGGCCAAGTAGATTTGATAAATTTCCAATCTGCTCCTGACGGAAACTATAAATGGCTTCTAAACTTTCAAGACCATGCCACCATACCAAACGTGTTGCACAGGTAGCTATAGAATTACTAAAAATATTTTTGAAGTTTGGTGTACCGCACATATTGCAAAGTGACAAAGGCCGGAAATTTACTGCTTCAGTAATAAAAGAAATTGTTGGCTACTGGCCTGATTGCAAAATTGTTCATGGCAGGCCACGTCACCCTTAAAGACAGGGTAGCGTAGAAAGAAGTAATCAAGATGCTTCGTTCCTGGATGTCCGATCACTTTTCCACAAATTGGTCCATGGGGTGCTATTTTGTACAGTGGCAGAAAAATTCATCAAAACATCGCATTATTGGAAGGACTCCGTACCGTACATTGTTTGGAGCTGATACGAATTTTGGAGTAAAATCGACAAACCTGCCAGATTTTGTAATTAAAGAACTTCGGACAGAAGAGGTACTTGAAAATATAATGAATCTTTCACGAACCAATAACACTGAACAGAAAATATCAGTAGATAATCTTGATTCGGACTCAGAGGGTAGCATTCAACTGGACAATATGAAAGAAAATGCGACTGAGACTTTAAGCGATAGTATTATATATTGTTGTGCGTGTTGTGAAAAAATCACAGAAAAATCTAAATTCACTTGTGAGATATGTAATGCCAAAACGCATTCAAATTGTACAATTTTAAGTTCAGGACCATTTTCAAAACTAGATACAAGGATGTGTCACTTTGTGCTACTCTCGATTCCAAGAATATCATTGGAAAAGTGATTGACCTGAAAAATAGCTTCTACAATGTAGGTACCTCTAAAGGAATTCTTAAAACTTTATTTTCTAGAAATTATATTCAAGAATCCTCAGTAGGTTTTAAAAATGAAGTTCCTGATCAACTAATTACTATCAGAGAATGCCATCCGAAAGAACGCCCATTATTCACGACTTCAGGTAACCTTTCGATATTCAAATACCAGAAAGGGCCAAAAGCCAGGAAAATAGAGAAAAACAAAACGAATCAATCTGGTATGCAGACGGTTCGAAAATGAAAAACAGCACAGGAGCTGGGATCTACCATGTGAACTCAGGGAAGACAATTAGTTTGAACCTGTGGTTACTGACAACAGTCTTCCAGGCTGAAGTAACAGCAATAAATGCCTGCGTCAAAGTCATGCTAAATGACTCTCTTAGAGATAAGAGGATCTTTATCATGACAGACAGTCAGGCAGCCCTTAAAGCACTGAAAAGGGTAGAAGTACAATCTAAATCAATATTTGATTGCTAACAGTCCCGCCAGGCCCTGGCAGAACATAACAAGGTCACCCTTGAATGGGTGCCAGGACATGAGGGAGTGTTTGGAAATGAGAAAGCAGACCTCCTAGCAAGGAAAGGAGCGGAAAAAACTCTTATTGGACCAGAACCCACATGTGGTATCTCATACCAACATGTTATATGGGTGTTAAAGGAAAAAAATAAATAGAGAACACCATAGGCTCTGGTTGGAACTTCCTGGACTTAGACAGTCCAAAAGAATCATAGAGGGGCCTTCCACGAGCAGACAACATCAACTGCTAAACCTTAGCAGAAGCGAACTCAAGGCCGTAATAGGACTCCTTACGGGACACTGCTGCTTTAGAAGACAGCTAAATCTCTTAGGGATATCTGATGACTCCCTATGTAGAATATGTAAAGAGGAGGACGAAACTCCTATTCACATACTATGCCACTGTCGGAACCTTAAATGGGAACGGGAATGGTACTTCGGGGTACAATATCCGGAACCTAAAGAAATCGCGAAAGCGCCCATCAGACATATTCTTGAACTCGTCAAGAAAATCAATCTGATGGGATAGAAACTGTGAGGGGTACAATAAACCTAGAGCTTCAGTAAAAGTGGACTTTGAACCACGCCCTAATTCAGATAGATAGATAGATAGATAGATAGATAGATAGATAGATAGATAGATCAGAGAGGCAGTTGCATATAAGTCACGATTCGGAGGTCAAGGTTTTCAAAAATATAGCTGTAAGGCTAGTAGTAAACAGTGCAAAATAAAAAAAATGTGCTTGCTTTAAAAATAACAATTTATGCTCTTCTAAATGTCATGGAAGTTTGACATGCAGTAATAATTTGTTTTTAATTTTTAGTTATAGTTTTATATTAGTAATAACGGAGGTACATTCTTACCTACTTAAATGTTAAATTATAAGAATATTTTATTATTTTCAAAGGATTTGTTTTTTATTTGTAGTTTCATATTTGTGTAAGGTAGTTACTAAAGTTAACAGGTATATTTTTATATCATGAAGTGTTAACTGTTTATTCATGTTTTCTTAATAAAAAGATTTACTGTAACTGTATTATTTATATTTACTAGTATTTTCGACTTTATTTTCACGTTTTGACGGCACCGTTTTCGGCAAATTGTAAAATGCTTAAAAATAGTCAGTCGCAACATGATATATATTCTTCTGTTCTTGTTTTGCCAGCATTTTATCAGTTTGTCCGAATTGGTGTCGGCATAACGAAAAATGCATTTTATACTCGCGTTTTACCGGCCTTTTGTAAAATGCCTAGGCAGTTTATAAAAAGCCTAAATTTGCATTATGCCTAGGACATCCACATCCAATTATATATACCTAATTCTCTCAGTTTCTTTTTAGCACCAACAATAGTCAATTTTTTGTTTACTGTCCAAATTTAAAGAATTTAAAGACACAGAGTTATATGACAGACTTAATTCGCAAATAATTCGGAAAAAAAACTATAAATATAGTAATGTTACCAACAGTAGATGCAAATGGACGGATTTTAATTGTTTTCAGTTGTAAGGTGGTTTGCATCGCATGAAACCAACGAAGAAAAACTACCAGATCAATTTTGTTTACAAAAATCAAATTGCAAACATTCACGGTGTCATTCACTTAGTTGTCAAATCATTATGAGAATATTGTTACAAGGATTGTTTAGGTCATAATTCACTATTGACTAATCATAGGGCTCTAAAGCGCTCAAAAGGCTTTCAAAATTACACTAAGGGAGTATATTTGCATTCTTAACGCCAGTTATTATTAATTTGATATATTTTTTTCTCGTTAAAACTATCATAGTTGTATAGTGTTTATCAGGAAAGTACGCAATTAATTTTGAAGTGTGAAAGCAAGCGTAGTAGACGTAAATACTGATTCATTTATAAAACGCGTGCTCGCGCCTGAAATAAATATACTCGCACAAACTATCCCCACTCAAATTAGCAGCCGTCTCGTTCTTTTTAATGCGACAGCCGATA